AAAAGTTCCCATGTGCAACTAGTTATATATGTTTCATAATTTGCCCTTATTAAAGATAAAAAAGGATCAGAATTATAGGCTTAGCAAGGATTAGCAAGCATAAGTCTGTATTTCTGCAACTACTACACTTTTTATAGCCCTGTCACACTCCGAGATAGAGTTGTATCATTATATAGAGTTATATAACCATAAAGAGTTATATCACTGGAAGCATTACAGCATTGTCCCAGACAGTCTTGATTATCAAAGTCTGGCTCTACCAAGTGAAAAAGAAAAAAAAAAAGAAAAAGAAAAGGCAACTTCAGGGTCCTGCTGTGCCATCTCCTGATCCCATCTGTTAGTGGCACACAGTCTGGAGTTGTAGGGGCCTCATGGACGCAACTTCGCATCCTAATTCAACATCCCATCAATATTCACCAGAACCTCCCAGTCACTCCAGAGGTGACAAGCCTGATATTTCACTCAAAAGAGACTTAAAATAACCAGTGAGAATCCTAGACAAAAAAAAAAAAAAATCCAAGTTTACCTAGAGGCCACATTTTTTCTTCACTGACAATAAAAAGGGAATAAAAACACTGCACAACCAGGTGAAACTCCACTAATAGTCCAAAAAATGCTGGGGTTTTTTTCTATCCTTAAACTTTCTGTTCGATATAATCTACAGCACTCCTGGCTTCAAATGGTGTTAACATTTTAAGTGGCCCCATCCACCCTTCTAATAGTTAGAGCCCAGAAAAATGGCTTCATTTTTTTCTGACAAATAAACATAAGACTATTACCACTGTGTGTCTTTGCAAGAATTGAAAGTCTTCAGATGTTTTTAAAAGGCCATTGGGTAAAGACAGAATAAAAGCTCAGCAAGCTGATAAAAGCATCCAACTGTGACCTGACAACGGTACAAACATTAATAAAAAAGAATTCTTTGGGTTTTATTCTCTTGAAGAAAATACATAATACAATCTTTCATATGCTTGTAATGGTCTGCCACCTCTTCTGTGTAACACACTGAGCCAGGACTCCTGGGGATCTGGCCCTCTGCCTCCACAGGTAGGACCTCCTGCTTAGTATTGAATCCAGATCAGACAAATATTCATAGTACCAAAGAGGAGTAGGAGAGGGAAAGAAAGAGATACCAGGAAAACAGAGCACAGCTCCTTCACCAGGAAATAAGCCACTGTCCCAGTGACCACTGAGTGTCATCATCTGCCCCATCACTAATTCTTACACCTCTTTTCCACCCTGGCACCATCCACAGCTCATCCATCCACTGACTCAGCAGCTGGGGCACTATAAACCATAAACCATAAACCAAGTCAATGGAGAGAGTTCTCTCTACGCTCCAGACCTGCACAGCTGCCGGTGGCACCTTCACCCAGGAGTGAACACATCAGCCAGGCAGCTGATCTGTCCCTCCTTTATCATCTTTGCTGCTTCTTCCTGTGTTGCTGGGGGCTTTTGGCAATTTTGACTGGCTAGACACTTTTTAAAGTAATTTTCTGTTTACAAGGATACAACAGTACTTTTTGGTGGCTGCTGCATTGCCATACATCACAGGTCTCCCACACATCGCCCAGCAATAACAGACAGGAGCATGAGTAACAAGAAAACAAGCCAGTCCAATCTTTAGTGTCAACTGCCTGTACCCTCTCAGAAAACAAGGGTTTTGATCTCTGTCATTGTGTTTTATGAGAGGAAGGTAGCTTTTAAATATCCCTTTTCTCCAGCCTTGCTTACAGTCCACTAAGTTTCAACAGCTTTCTGGTCTGCAGCAAATTCACAGTCTCCTGGGTGACCTGGGAAAATTTTTCATTACTTTTACTCCCTCCGGCAAGCAAAGCCCCATCCTCATCCTCCTCCTCCTGCTTTCAGCATTAACACAGCAAATGGTGAGCACACAGGTAAGCAGAGACACACACCATCTGTCTCAGTGCCCCAGACCTCTCTAACTCCCTTTGCTCGCACGGGGCTTGTCCCCGTGATGTCAACTGCGTATTTTGTAGACCCTTGAAACAAACATGTTTCTAAGCCCATATCACCAAAAAAAAAAATAAAAATCCCACTTCACCCTTGCAATTTGCTTTGTAGTAAGACAACTATTTCATTTGTCTGTCCTGTTTTCACAAATCTGACAAGCTCCTCAACACTTCTGAGAGATCTGCATCCTCAGCATCAATCCCTGTCCCCCGAAACTGCTGTTCCCTTGCAAGGTCTGCATGAGATGCCAACCACACTGCAGCCCCTGCAAGCAGATTTGGCAGAGCCAACCATATATTTCCAGGAGTCAGGACACACTCTGCAGTGTAGATACATCCATTGGTATGATTTAAATACCTCATAGGAGTGTGATATACTGAAACTTCACAACAAAGCAACACACCTTTGAACAGTGCAGAATGTATTGGTACAGAGAGATTATTGCATAATGGCATCAATATTTTATTTCTGTTGAATTTTTTATCTCAAATTTACTGCTCCCATAAGTAATACACAATAACTCATCTGCACCATAGTTACTTATGTATTATGTATTGCATGGTCCTGGAAGAATTTCTGAAGAAATATCCTTCTTTTAAAAAGGAAAAAAAAAAATAGCCCTTTCAACGACAAATCCCAGCACTCAGCAGCAGTATTTTACTGAAATGCTTTTTTACAAAACTTCAGAAATTCTCCACTAAATTGTAGCGTATATGTTTACCAATCTCATAATTCAAAAAGAAAGTGGCCTGGCAGCTTCTAAGCACACTGTAATGTTATCTGCAGGGACAGTGAATTATGTATCTCTCATAGCACCGTGTCTGACACAAAAACACTGTGATTCCAGTGCCGTGGGATCCCGCAGATCCACACAGTTGAGACACAAAGGGTAACGCAATAGTGCTGTTTTCCTGCCCTTGTAGTAAAATGGTGCAAATATTTGAATATGATTTTCTTATATCAAGAAAAGAGAAGCTTTAATTTATGCAAAAGGAGAAGAAGAATCAGGTCAGTGGTTTGTAATTATGAGGTTTGTTGGAAGTACTGATCAATGCTAATCAATGCTAATCAATGCACCCTGAGCAGATTCTTAAGGGTCCAACCATATGCCTTGAAGGCACTTGGGAGATGGGGCTGTACTGCCTCTGGGATGTTCTGTTTGGCTTTTTGGGTTTTTTTAGACTATGACTTCAACAAAAGTAAGGGCTCTTTAAACATACAGCCAAACTTCTCTGGCTGCCTGACGACAATATTTTGTGATGTTCATCATTAATACCTGGCATTTTACCTAATGGTGCCCTTCACTGCAGAACAGCAGTACACAAGTTATGCATTTCACTGCTTTTGCCCTTTCCCACAGGAACATACATAGTTCCTGGATGCCACAGGGATTCTGCTCTTCCTCAGCCACAAGATGGGGAGGGGGAGAGCTCAGCCCCTGGAGCACATCCCTGCCTCCCCAGGGAAGGCAGCAGAGTATGAAGCTCCCAGGGCTGAGAATCCAAAGGAGGCACAATTCATCATTTCTGCATTTGAGAGCCACCTTCAATGTGTTTTCTGTGTCCTGCTGTAGTCAAACACTCCTCAGTGCAACTATGTACTGGGGGAAGCGGGGCAGAGCCAGGGAATGCAGGGGTTTGAGGAATGGTTCCCCATGAGAAACATATTGGTTTCCCCAGAAAGCATCAAATAGGAAAATCTACAAGAGGATTGTTGTAAAGACAAGCTTTTTCCTTGATGAGCTCACACTATGTATTATATACACTGCAGCAAGGAGCCAGTCCCATGCCTTCAGACCTCTACTATTAAAGTCCTTTCAATTAACTGGCATTTATCTTAAAAAATTCAAACTATTTCCAGGCAGAAAAATTCCATATTATGGAACTGAAAGTAAAATAAAGAACATTTGCAGGTTGCTAACTAAATTGTAGGGGCAGTAAAGCTTACAGTAGTTGAGAATGTATTCCTACATCAGGATCTTACAATTTAATGAATAATACTCTCTCTAGACAAAAAAAAAAATGTCATATTTGGTGTTAGCTCAAAGAGGGGCCTTTCGTTTTATGTCTGCCTTTATAAATTGACTTTTCAGTTATCCAAACACATATAATAAGTGCTATCTAGATAATAAGAAATTAGTTTAAATGCTGTTTGCATTCAAATGACACCAACTTTATTCTAAAGAAGACATCTTAGAGCACACACAGCTCAGAGTGAGATATCAAGCCTTCTTCAAGCGCGAAGAGAAAAACACAGTCAGGAATTAATCATCAGGAGGCAACTTCCAAGAGACGATAGGATGTGGATAATGTCCTTCTTTATGCAGGCGTGCATTATTTTACCCAAAGCAATACACATGTAAACCTGACACAGGACAAGTGTCTTGTAACGAAAGCAGAGGATGCTGCCAGATCCTCCACACCTTTCCCACTATTCCCTCCTTCTGTGAGGCTGCAGGTCTGGCCATGGGCTGTTGGGTGACAAGAGCATTTCAACAAACATCATCCCCAGCAGCTGATAAGTAACAAGCACAATGCCCACTGCCATGCAGTTGTCATTCCTGAACAGTAATAGAGGACTCAAACAGGCTGTTTCCTTTGCATTTCACCTCCAAGAGCGAGAAAGGGAGGAAATGTCTCATCATGAGGAGCTGAAATTATTTTTTTCCTGAAAAGAAGATATCAGTCCTGTAACAGAAAGGTCTCCCAAAACAACACAGCATTCAAATGACTCAAAACCTTGCAATTTTTAGCAAGTGCCATCTGTAGTGATGAAATAATGAAATTACAAAGAGAAAAGAAGACTTGTGACTCTGGAAAAACATTGGCAGGGAATTTCCACTTATGGTGATTTATCTTGTTTATTTTAAGCAATAATTTAGGAGAGTGACATTGAAACTCTGACAGGTCACAAAATATTTCCTCAATTCAAGACACAGATCACAGACATGGCATGTCCCTGTGACAGGTCCAAGCTCAAGCATGCACTTTTATAATTTAAAAAATAATAATGTATTTCATATTTACCTTTTGTTGAATCATCTTCAATTGGTTGTTTGAATAAAGTGATATCCTTAAAAGTACACAAGAACAAAACCACTTTTTCATGCTCATTTCTTATAGGTGCAATTTGCATGTAGAACCAAACTGGGGTTCCTGAAGCAAAGAAAAAAGTGACATTGGAATGTGGTGTAGCACAAACTTTCCCCAGCCCATATACAGAATACTTCATCATTTACATGCTATTGTAATACACATGTAGTTAAGGACCATATGTCAATATTTCTGCATCTTCCAGAGTTTTCAATTTTACTTCCTCAAAGGAAAACAACATATTCCCATTTTCACAGCTGCATTAATCTAACCAGAAGATAAGCAGAGATAACAGGGTTTATAAATCTCCATTCTAAAATAAAATATATTATTCTTCCCCTCTTGCTCTTGTTTTTTCCCAGCATGTCTCACCAGATTAGTGTCTGCAAGGTAAAAAGGCAAGAAAAAACAGGTGAATGGTATCTTTGATTCCTTCTTCATATATTATGGAGCTATCAAATCCAAAACTGATGGACTATACTGTGAAATGCTCCAAATTTTATGTTACTACAATATTTAAGAGGAGTTGAGTTGGACTCTAAATGTCATACCAAGACAAATCAGACTTGATTTCTTTTTTGCATTTCAGGTCATACCTCCACCTCCTCATTGCCCTGCCCAGTGCAGCACTCTTCCAACACAGTTATCTCGACTCAGTTTTTTAAATAAAACCAAGTATTTTTCAAATCCTACCACTCATCAAATAAAGAGCCAAAACAAATCCCTCAGGGTTGGAGTGGTTAGCATGGCTTTTGGTAAATCCTCGCTGTCTGTACAAGGCTCCTGCAGGTGCTCAGGAGCTGAAACTGGTGTTCCAGGCTGAAACACACATGGCAGGCCCCTGTGTACATGCAGGTCTGCTCCATAAGGGGTAAAATCCTAGAATACTTTAAGCAATTTTCTCAGAAACACCTTGTTCACCTGCAGGGATGTAAATGTCAGACGCTCTCCATCCAGCAAAGCTCTGTGTCCCCTCCCTCCCAAACGCACACCTACACACGCTGCACTGTAAATGCCTTCACAGCCAGCTAATTACCTTTGGGATTTGATGTGCTTTCAGCCAGTTGACAGAATGGCTTTTCTCCTGAGCTGCCTAAGTGCTGACACATTGAGACAAGCTGCTTGCCCACTGTTATCCCACATGGGCACCACTGGCCCCCCCAAATCCCCTCTAATGCACCATGTCCGGGAGCTGTGCCAGGAACTGCAGGATACATCCCAGAGGGCAATGAAAACCATTTGGGCTAGGACTACTGTGGGGAAGGTTAAAATCCACAAGGGTTCATTGAAATTCAACTGGGATTAAACCAGTAACTTACTACCAGTAAACTGGATGATGGAGAGATGTGGGACTGCTTTTTGTTATAATTCCAAAGCCATTATGCTGATTACTTGATTACCTTAATTCCCAGTTGCTAACCTGAGATAAAAGACTTTTTATAACTACTAAAACAGAGTGCTGCAGCTCTCTGGAGAAATACTTTACTTGCACTCATACCTGGGAACCCATAGGCATCTTTTGAAAAGCTCTGAAAGCAAGGAGGCAAAATACTCTGTCACCAGTGCTGACAAAAATCAAAGACGGAGGCAAGGCGGCTACTGCTGCAGAAGCAGCAAAATGAGGAAAAGCAGGCAAAGAGTTTTCCTGAGTATTACCATATAGATACATACACATTAGAGAGAGGGCATATATACGTGCTTAACATGGTTGCTGAACAGCTGTGTGGGTAGAGGTATATAGGGTACATTCCCTATATACGAGGGAATGCAGCAAAGCAGAAGAAAGTTGTAGCACGCTTTCAGGTCTGAACCTGAAACCTGCAGGCTGGGTTAAAACACCAAGGGAGTGTGTAAAGTCACCAGTCATACGGATGCTGCTGGAGAACATCAGCTCTTAAAGATCATCTCTGCGACAAAGGAGAGCAGGATGGGACAGCAACTTGAAAACCTCAAAATCTCCCTCTGCCAAAAGCATAAAGGAATGGGTAAGGGAAAAAAAAAGGTTGTGCCACATTATCAGAAGTACGCAGCACCACTGGACCTACGGTTTCAAAGCGCAGATGGGAGGGTGCTCTGCAAGCTCCATGTAGGTGATAAACACAAGCCCTTACACAGAGTACCTGCCTACACCATGCAGAAGTACATTCATACCAACGGATAACTATTCTTTATTTTGTTATCTGCTCCAATATTCATCCTGGAGGATAAGCAGGCGGTTTCTTGAAGGACCTTCTTCCGCCAGGCTCCGATTATGATAAATGGAAGCAAACCCTGAGCACACCAGCTGCTGAACCAGAGCCAAAAGGTGAGTCTATTAGCATTAGTGAGAGGTTGAAGTTCTGGGCTTCAGGTGATGGAGAAGAAAGCTGACAACAGATGTTATGGATGGGAACTGACTCAAGCCTGAAAAGAAATATTGAGTACTTTTCCACAAAGTCCTTCTGTAATCCTGCATAACTTATGGAAAGTGTAGGCTTGGAGATCTGGGCAAAGGTGAAGATTTTATTATGGCAACTGCAGGTCAATAAATCTCTGAAGCATCATCAAGCTCCAGCAGACAATTCACAACCCAAAGCAAAAACCATCTGGCTTGTTACAGGACAGTAACCAAGAGAAGGCTTTTCTCGTTTCATACTTAAATAAAATAGAAAGGAATTTACTTCAGGAATGGCCTGTTCTAGAGCAGGACCCTCTTTAATAAGAGAAGCCAGGGTTGGGGAGAGCACAGGATCTCTGAGATTCCCTTTGGAAATCACACAAACACAAGACATGGCACTGCTGGGCAGCACCACGAGCAAAGATACCCAACAGGAGTCTGTCCCAGGAAATTCCCCTGTTGTGAGGGGGCATCCAGGTGAGCTGCACAGGAAACGGGCAGAGAAGCAAGAAATCTGTAGAACAGACACATCCATATGCTTAGGAAACAAAAAGAGGTCATTTGGAGGGCTCTCCTGGACACCTGCAGGAACAGCTGGACTTCAGAGCTGCTCTTGCTTCTCTTTTTAATTAAGGTGTTGGCTAAAATGCCTTGCAGCAGGCAGAATTGTAGAACTCTAATGACATTTCCTGCTGCTTAAGTACACATAGAGGAAGACTTAGTCTAAAAAGGGAAAACAGAGGTAAAGCATAAGAGGAGGTATCCAGGATGCTCTGTTCAATGTCATGAAAGGTTTATGTGAGTTTGCAGTGAAATGGGGCAGTCAGGCACAGTTAGCTCTTTCCTGAGGCACACCATTCCCTACCCTCAGACACAACATGCAAGAAAAAGCTCCAACATAAGCTTGTCAAGGTGCTCCCTGCCAGCACCAAGGCCCATCCAGGGGGAAGCACAGCCTCAGGTACTGGGCTCTGGGCAGGTGAACCAGGGAGGAAGCTCCCCAGCCCCACAGTAACTGCACCCTGTACAGGGCAATGAAAGCCAAACTGAAGAAAACATCTCCATCAGGACTGTTCTTGGCTTGTTCTTGACACAGTCACCAACCCAATCAACTAGGCTCTTTCTGCTCAGGGTAGAGGAACCCGCTTTTCTGGAGTATGCTTCATCTGAGAGTTCTGGCTTTCTATCTTGGGAAGGTGGTCTGTGCTAGTGGAGGAGGCTGTTCATTTACACTGACAACAGCAGGAATCGCAACCACCAGCTCAGGAAAGATGTCCACACTGCACAAGTCCAGTGTGAGACCACACAACAGCGTGGGTTTTGCTCAGTATGTGCTATGAAGTTGATAAGCCAGAAGCAGTACAGCCCACACGTGTGGTAGGACAGAAAATGTGACTGGAGTGGCTCATGGATAAGACAAAATGAAGAAAGTCTTCTCTGGTTCTGGCAACTTCCTGCAAACCCAATGCCACCAAGAGGAAGGGAGCCAGCTCCTGCATCTAATTAAGTTACAAATTCCCTGGTTTTCTAACTAATCCCTGGGCTACGTGCCAAATTTAGTACTCTCACCAGAGCTCATATGTGTTGGTTTACACACCACAGAGGCATCCTGACACTGCTGGGAGCATCCACTCGCGGCAAACAGGGTCTGGGTTCTCACTTGTGGAGACATGGGGGAGTCTTCTAAGGGATGTGGGGGAATCTCATTCAGGATTTCTTTTCGCTCAACCCAGTCAGTTTCCCTTCAGGGAAACAATCTTCAAAACTAAATATATTTCAGAAAGGAGTCAGACTTGAGATAGCATGGAACAACTATTCCTGGCAATCTGAATGCTTGTCCTGAAAAGAGAGCTCTCTTCTTGAGCTGTGGCAACCAAAATACCTGTTTCTTCTCTAAATCTTGCCCCAACTTGCCCATATGTCAAAATGAAAATTTATTTTAGTCTATTATATACTTTAAATATGCATTGTCACTCCCAGTACCATACACAAATATATACATACTGTTTTTCTTGTAGAGGAGAATTTCGAAGCAGTTTGACTCATAGTTGTCGAAAGTCTGTCTGACTTTTTCAATGGTCTTCTTGTCTGTCAGTTCACCATACATAAAACTGAAAAAGAAATAAGGTTTCTCTTTTTTTCTAGACAAACAACTTTGTTACAGTCACCTTAAACAGCCTAGGCATTCGAGACGCTGTGAACTGTCATTTACCAAGGTTTAATTATGATTTACACTTCATTTAAATATTTAGAGTGTCACAAGGACACCTACAATAGTGAGTAACCATGACCACCTTCTTACTGTAAATGACTACAAATAAATCCACTGTAATGCTTCATTAAGTGCTTTTTCTGAGTATATCTTTAAGGATATATGGTTATATATCCTTACAGAAAAATAGCTGACAGCTTATGAAACCATTATCTCCACAGCTGCAGGCCACGGCAGGATTGCTGTCAAAACAGAGAAAATGGAACAAAACCTCTAAAACCTCCCAAATTTTGTTCAATCCTCTTGAAAAACCTTCTGGAGGAGGAATGCAAGCTATTACAGGTAAAGGCTGTTGGCTGAACTGATGGCAACAAATCTAATCTTCTCAAGATGCATTTGGGATAATAAGATAATCAGAATTCTTTTACTAAATACCAATTACAAATAGAGGTGGGATTTAAACAGTGAAGAACAATGATTGTAATGTTCTGAAAATTCAGTACGGGTAGCAAGCGTATGAGTTGTCTCATACAACTATATATGTGTAGCTGTGCCTGCACTACTACCAAACAACCAAATTTATCCTCATTTTCCTTACTGCATACTGCATTTCTTTAATAGTTTAGTGGAAAATATTAAAAAGCTTTCAGAGATGCATCCCTCTCCAGGCTGATAATATAAAAATGTAATTTTAACTCTGCTATTTCTTGACACTTGACCATCTCATCTTCGCATTCTTTTCCAGGTCAGACTTCCAGCTGGTGTAAGTAAACCCAACCCCCTGACCTAACTTTTGAAAGCCTTTGTAAGGAAACATCCAGGCTTTTATTGTCATTCTTTCCTGGATTAAAAATAAGCGAAGGCGGCTCTGTGCAAATGCCCAATTACAGAACTGAAGTAAAATGGAACATGGGATAAAAGCTTTCAGGCACTTGGATGAATATACTTTTAATTGATCAGACTTTTTTTTTTCCCATTCTCTTTGTTCACAAATAGTTTGGGCTTCAGCTTGAAACCTACAAGAGACAACCCTGAGAATATGAAAGAGAAAAGCTATCAGTGCTTCTGTGGTTTCAATGCAGCTTCTCCTATTGATCAGCAGATCTCCAAAGGTTCAATAAACATTTATTTTATGTCCACTGCTCTGAAAGAAACAATAAAACAGCATAGTGCTTACTGGCTCAGCAAGCATTAAAGTACTCAATGAAGGCCAGACCATGAATCTTTTCTTTGTACAGCCAACCGAGGGAGGCAGTGAGGCTGCTCCCAGGACAAGGTGCTGCCTGACATGGGTGATGGAGGCAGGCACAGGGCATGGGAATGAATACAACATCTGGATATTACTACAGGTGCCTTTTCACTGGTAACACAGGGACTTCTATTGATTAGATTGGTTATTAGGAAAGACTTCCTCACTGAAAGGGTGGTCAGGCATTGGAATAGGCTGCCCAGGGATGTGGTGGAATAAGCACCCCTGGAAGTGTTCAGAAAACACAAAGATATGGCACTTGGGAGCATGGTTTAGTGGTGAAGATGATAGTATTGGTCTAACAGTTGAGTTGATGATCTTAGAGGTCTTTTCCAACCTAAATGTCTCTGTGATTCCATGAATGGTGTGGCCTAACTGTTACCTTTGGGACAGCACTGCAGTGGAGATGCCACTACAATGCCTGACATCAGGAAATGGTTTTCCCCAGTCACAAGACTTCATTAATGTACTGATTATCATTAACATACACAGTTGTCTCAAGGAGATGCAAAACACAGCTTACTGCTCATATTCAAATGACCTGCCTTTCTTTCCCAATTTCAGATGATAATCTTTTATACATCCTATACATGAGACGACAACAAAAAGAGTTTGATATTTCTTTTTTAATCTGTGCCTTTTTTAATGCACTGATGCATCTCTTTTTTGTGTTCTTGAGACTTAAAAACAATGTTTTGCATAGTCCTGGAGGAAAAAATAGCAAGAATTTGTTGCAGTGCTTGATTTTACATGACTTATAACACAGAAAGTCATCATTAATTAGTGTTAAAATGACAAATCCTACTTGATGTTGAGAGGTGGACGACACCAGTTACTGCTGCTGAACATGATCAATCAACTTTATGTTTTAAATTAAAGGCAGCTTATGGTTGCAGTAAACCTGTAATACCCAAATCATATATTATGCTCAGATATAAAGAGACATTTTAAAGGCTTGTGGAACAATAAAAACATTTTTCAGAAGGTAATTTTTAACAGCACCAAAGGAATCTCAGAGCCTTTCACTGTACGAGTTATATAAGATCTCTGCTTATCACAGGTTTAATTTAATTTAGTCTGTCCTATTTTGTACACATGGAGGGACTCCTACTTCTCCAGTCAATCACTCTGTCTTTTTCTGCCTCATGTTTTTTTCTGTTATTTAGTGCTTGTCGAGTGCCTTGAGTGCAAACTGTACAAGACATAAATATCAAACCCACTCTGCTACTGGGAATCTCACTACGTAGAAAACAGGCTTATCAAAGAGAAGCAAGACTTACTGAAATACTCAGAGAAAGACACAATCTTAGATATTTTTTCCATCTTCAAAACAGAACAGTTGTCATTTAAGATGCTTAGGCTCCCACCTCCCTCTGAAAGCATGCCTTGAACAGAAAAGCCTCATCCAAAGCTTCATTTAGTGCTCCTCTGTCCTTTGTCAGGATCCAGAGCACGGGCACCAGAGCAGGTCCAGGTTTGCAGTGTGTGCCAGGGCAGCAACAGCTGTCTGAGAGGAATTATCCAGGACAGGTGAAGCACAGAAGGGATCCAATCCTACCTGATTTACAGCATTCAAGGCATTGATTACAGCAGACAAACATCTACCCAGGAGGAACAGCAAATGCACCTCAATAGTTTAAAAAGCCTGAAGAGCACACACTGTTTCTGAGAAGAAACAGTGCAGCTCCCTGGGTCCCACTGGCACACTCAACGGGGTTTCTTTGCAACAGCTTTGGCAGTAAGGAGGCCTTCTCACACACACAGAAATCAGGTCACAGTGGTGCCATCTCAGTATCAAATCTAGTTTTTTTTCAAGTCCACCACACTGTACCCACCATGCAAAATCCCATTTATTTCAACACAGTGGGAATTTTGCCACTAGCTCCACTGGAGCCAGGATTTCCCTTGCAGACTCTTTTTAATCCCACTTGTGACGGCAGTAAATCAAAACAAGGGAGAGCAGAGATGCTGACCAAGTGTTTCAGTGAAAACAGTGCCTATAAAAATCTTGGGTGCAAGGAAGGGTAAGCAAAGCAAAGTCTGGAGTGAATGCCAAGTGTAAAATGCCAGGGTAGGTCCACTAACCAGCCACTCAAAGGGTGCCTTCTCTTCCAAAGGCTGGATGAGAACACAGAGCTTAACTGATAAGCAATAATATTTAGAAAACACTGGTCATGAAACCAGTAGTTTTCCTGGATGTTGGTGACTTCCTGATGCACATCCAGGCAAGTTTTTTTGGTTAAATAGAGGTTAAATGTCACAGATGCCCTGTTTCTCCTGGACTGTCAGCTCATTTTCATTTGGCACAGCAATGCTGCACAAGCACATGAGTTATTCCACCTAAAAATTCTATTCATTTTAGCACTCATTCACACCAATTTTTCTATATATCAGCCCAAGCTACACATGCAATTTTGGGTGCCATGTGCACTCAGAAAGAACACATATCAACTCCCATCACCCAATATTATGTAGTCTGACTTCTATGTACACTGTGCCTTAAAAGGTGTATATATATATATATATATATTATATATCATAATATAAAATACATATATATATATATATATATATAAAAAAATACATACATATATGTATATAGTGCCTGTGAAACTAGGGAGACTGGCACTTCTACTAAGTGATTTTCCTGCCAATGGGCCCATTGTTGCTGATTACAAAGATGAGAGAAGTGCAAAATCAAAGGGGTTACCAGCCTGTCACAGGACTAACTTATGGCTGAACTGGAACAAAAATCATTCACACCTCCAGGGACTTAAGTTTATCCTCCCCTCCCTGTGATATGTAGTAGCCAAGACCACCTGAAGACTGAATACAATGATCACAGAATCAGAAAATTATTTAGGTTGGGAAAGACCTTTAAGACCTCTAAGATCATCAAATCTAACTGTTAACCCAACATTGCCAAGTCCACCACGAAACCATGTCCACAAATACCACATCTACATGATATATGAACAGTCCCAGGGTAGGGTATGGGGTAAGAAGAAGGATAAAGCAAATACTTGCTGGAATACCAGGAGAAAAGCATGGTTGAAAGATGATTTGAAGGCACTTATAGTCAGGGGGAAACTTACCAAACATTGCAAAAACTATAAACTGTCCTTTATCCCACTTATGATCACTAATAACAGTAACTGGAATCAGGGGGTAGACATACATAATTTTTATCTGTGTTTTTAATTTAGTTGAATTTTTGACACTGAAAAGCTGTAAAAGTAGACCCTTCCGAAACCTGCAATAAAGGTATGGTACAACAGCACTCTCATCCCAGATCACAGAGCAGAAAAGCAAATATTACACATAAAGCAATTTTTATGTAAAATGTATAATCTGGGCATAACATAGCAAAAATGGACTGTGAGGCTGACTCAGAAAATACTACAAATAATAGCCCCAGATATCGAAAACTCTCCAATGACATTCTACTGAGTAAGCAGGCACCATTGGGTTTCAAAACCATTTTCCTTTTGGTATCTCTCAATAGAGAGCAGCTCCAAAGACAGTGCTCTGGAAGGCTGCATGTTGCGTGTCAGATCACACTGAAAATCTGTCCAGCCCTCTGTTAATCTGAAAGTGGGATGTCTCCTAAGAAGCAGGAAAAATCTGCATATGTAACTTGTAGAATCACAGAATGATTTGGGTTGTAAGGGACCTTACAAATCATCCAGTTCCAATCCCCTGCCATGGGGTCTACACCTAGACCAGGTTGCTCCAAGCCCCATCCAACCTGTCCAAGAGACAGACACAACAGTATTGGTCATGCTTTGAAGTGTAGAGAGGGCTTCCCAAAATCCAGAGGTAGATGTATAGAATGAAAATTAAGGAAAAAAAATCTTTGCTACAAACTGACAATTACCCCTTGATTTGCATCTGCACAATTCACCTGTATGACCTATTTCAATGTGGTCAAAACAGGATCCTTACAAATGGTAACAGGAAACTATCACATTCACAATAAGCACCCATGAGCACAAGGGAGTCATTATCAGAGAGCTATTGCTAAACCTTCACTTACTCAACACTTTCCTAAAATAACATTTTATACTTGTAATTATTTTAATGTGCACAGGCTATGAATGTGCTGGCTCACAGCAAATTTATTTCAACATACAGGATGGCAGAGAGCAAAGGGGAAAGTATGTATGAATATCCAGCAGCTGTGATAAGGCTATTCCTTCAGCCCCACTGAGTATATCGACTCTGTTGCTACTGTGTGAATGAATATTTCATTTCAGCAGCACATGCCCATCTCCTGTCTATTTCCCATCAGAGGACACTTGGCTGCACAGAGCAATCCTAAATTCCCAAGGCTTTCTTCTCTTCCCTGCACGTGAGAGCAGTGACTACACATCAGCACGTGTTGCTTTCTGGAGTAAGCAGCGACTGCCATCCGGGGACAGGCTCACTGCCCACCCTGCTCCCACCAGCATCAGTCAATCATCAGTGTATGGCAGCACTCTTCTCCCAAAAATTATGACTGTAGATCACAGAATCACAGAATGGTTTGGGTTGGAGGGAACTTTAAAAGATCACCTAGCTCCAACCCCCTGCCATGGGCAGGGACACCTTCCACTAGACCCCGTTGCTCAAAATCCCATCCAGCCTGGCCTTGAACACTTCCAGACATACAGTGCCCTCCTCCCAGTGCCTGGAGTTGGTCAGTCCCTGAAGGCAGAAAGGGAAAACCTACACAAACTTGTATCTCAGCTATTCCTTATTTGCCTTGCTCACGCACACATGCACACGCACACGCACACGCATCAGGGATTCAGTCCTTCCCCAAAGCATCTCCTTTTAAAGGATGCAGCAGACAAGGCGCAGATGAATGTCTGACCACAAATCACAGCTGCTCGCTCCTGAAAGACCACCAACAAAAGGAAAAACCCATAAAGCTGCAATGCTTAGAGTAAATATATCGGCAGCTTAATCACCCTCTTGGGAGTAAAGATGCACTTTGTGCATTACTGTGCTCTCTGTGTGCTTAATAACAAGGGCCAACGAGGGCTACAGAACAGTCCACTGACTCCTGGCATGGCAAGAGCAGAATTCAGAACAACCTAGCAAAAAAAAGTCTTTGAAGTATATTAGTTAACTTAAAAACCCATTCTTTATTGCATGATTAGATAGAGCATATTATTACCAATACTAGCCAGGATAAATTTCAAAGTGCTTTGCCGTGTTCTGGATAAGTTGCTGCTTTCATTTTTTAAAGCCTGTTCTAATACTTCAGTTCCTGCAGGACAAGGCCTGTCTTAGATCAATCCTTTTTCCAAAACCTCCCTGTTCTTCCCAGCATATTATAAACTTACAAGTGCATCAAGTGTCAGCAGACAGACAGTGGGCATACCTGCAAGTGCTACTCTTCTGCATGACGTCAGCTCGATGGTATCCAGAGAGTTTACAAAAACCGTCATTACTATAAACTACGGGCCAGTCCACAATCTGGGCGTTTCCCAACAAAAAACTGGACTCTGAAACGAGAAAAAGAGAGACAGGGCTGTTGTCAGTGGCAAAGTACAATTAAATCCTCCATGTGTTACACAGCAATCATTCATGGTGGTAACTTCTATCGTGACGTTTCGGAGGGAACTGAAATCAAAATGGGCATCAGAAAAGAAATCATGATGAAACAGGATAACTCCTAGTAATGTAAGCAGCTTCTTACACCCCAAAATACTGATATAAGCACCAATGTTTTAACAATTTAGAAAGGATTCATTTATTCAAAACATCTGGTCAAGCTATCATGTTTGATTTTTATTTCATATGTATCTTGGAATCAACCCTAAATTAACTTGCAAACTGAGTGTTGAATGCTAAACTGTATGTGAGCCCAAAACTGATGACAACTCTCTCACTTGAGATAAGTAACTTTTTCCTCCTGACAGGTCCAAGCTGGTTTTGCAGAGCACAGGCAGCATTACTGGGATGAGGGACAGAGAGTGTCAGGAGCCGCCAGGGAAGATCAGGTTGCACTCGTCACATCTCATAGTACACCACGTCCCACATCACATCTGGGAGTGTGGATATTAACTGTGATATGGAAATTTAGCATGATGAGTGCCAAAGGGACTTACACATTCAAATAATACAAAACAGGTACCTAAAGGGCCTACAAGAGAGATGGAAAGAGAATTTGTATAAGGGCATGTAGCAATAGGACAAGGGGTAATGGGTTCAAAATTACAGAAGGGCAAGTTTAGATTTGAGAAACCTGGTCTAGTGGAAGGTGTCCCTGCCCGTGGCAGGGGGGTTGGAACAAGATGGTCTTTAAGGTCCCTTCCAACCCAAACCGTTCTATAATTCTATGAATTTCAGTGGCAGTCTACTAAAAATGCAAATAGGTGGGTTTGGCACATCCTAGTAGCATGCATCCATTGCTGCAAATACAAAATATGGGCAGGGAGTATTTCTGGGAGGCTGAACTCGGGTTTAAATATCGCTTCAGTCATCTGTTCTTTCAGTCAGTGCCTACAGTTTATATGCATGGACTGACACCAACACATTATGAGTTAGTCCTAAAATAGTTTTATTCTTCCATCCCTGCTTATAGTAAGGCATTTCCAGAGAAGGAAATACCCATTTTACTTAAACACAATGTTGTGGGATTTTACGTTCATTGACACTGTAAACATTCCTAATTTTGTTTCAGAAATAATATTCTCCCTTCATAGAGGTTCTAAAATTGTGGTCTATTGTAATCTTCAGTGTTTTCTTTGTTTTTACTGTTAGTTTCCAATTTCATTTTGACTGCAGCTATGGAACTAACTGGTGCTAAAAAGCTAACTAACTAACTAACAGTAGTGCTAAAAAGCTGTTAAAATATAACTATTAACAATCATTGCTGCATAGAAATTATAGGAAATGTTCCTTTCAGCAGTTCTTGTGGGGAAAAAAAATTAAGGATATTTTTACAAATTTTCCTCATAATAGCCATGAATGGTTATGACAACTACAGACATAATACTAAGGTGCACACATTCATTTTCACATAAAATGATATGGGATTTGCATGAGCTACACCCTACTGGAATGTACATTATGCAAACATTATTCTATTGAATTAGGAACATGTACTAAAAAAAATTATATTTCTTTTTCCTTTATAAGCATGAATTTAGAAAAAAAATAATCTGGAGATTATTGGATTATGTATAGAAAAGCAGATTTAAAAATATTTAAAAGCCGACCAATGGGAGAAATAAAAGTTTAGATTTTGTGAAATCTAACACTTTTAAGCTCAAAGCATTTATTTGAATCCATCACAAATATTCTTAAGCCTAAATGTCAACTTTTAAAATTTGCTTTCCTACCCAAAGGGAGAAGCCCTCACTACAAGCAGCAGGAGACACAGAGAAAAGCCTGAGCATTACATAAAATCTCCCTGGCTTCCCACAGCCCTCTCTGCCTGGGGACTCAGCCCAGCTTTCCTCACCGTGGCACAGACAGTAACACAGGGGACATTGTGGAACCCCTGGGATCCAAAGGGTTCACTGTAGCTCATCCCACTGTGTTATGTTTCCCCCAACACCCTGTCTCTTCTCCAATTTGGAAAAGTGGAGACACCACAAGCCCTCTAAACCTGCCAGGCTCTCCCCATGGTTGCCACCCTGCCACCACCACATCCCAGCAGCTGGAGAGGATGGGAACACAAGCAATTCTTAATTTCCCATCCCACTAGGAAACAACCAAGATTACAAGCCCTCTGGTTAAATTCAAAAAGACTATCTTTATAGAATTGTCTTTTGCCAAAATTCTGCTCACGTATCTCGACACAAAGGGCACAACCTGCTGAGGAGAGGCTGCAATACCAAATGCACTCATGGATGCTCTGCACATCTCTGAGCTCCCCAGAGGACCACAGTCCAAAAGCAGATAACCCTGCTCCAAAGCCTCCCCATCCACAGACATAAACTCGATTGTGTATTCCCACCACGTCACTGTTTCAGGACACAGAGTACACAGCAGAAGATTCGTGTTGCAGCCAGCAGCTGATCAACAGCATTTAATGGTTGTCTTTTATGGACTTTATACTTCTTCACATCAGAGGGTCTCAAAATACTTGATAAGGCACTCAACAAACTGATAAGTCCACAAGAAACATGTGAGGGAACAAAACATAAAGCCAAACTATTGATAGATGAGTGGGTTTTCTTTTAAAATCCCATAAAAATTGGAAGGAAAAAAAAAGACACTAGAAGTACCTTGGTTGACACTAGTATTTGTAATATTAGATCAGATATATAGTATGTGTACTATAAAACTGACCAGATATTAGAATATGTTTTCTTTTGTCCTCACGAATTTTCTTTTACTTAACTGACTTCTTTTTACCCTTGTTTCCTAAACAAGTAAGGCTTATTCATCCATGCTCCACATGTGACTATGAATCATGGAACAATTTAGGCTGGAAAAGACCTGTAAAATGACAGAGTCCAACTGCAAGCCCAGCACTGCCAGATCCACTATCAATATGTGTGTGTGTGTGTGTGTGTGTCCTATTCCAATGGAAGGAAAATCTTGAATCAATGTTTACCTCTTGTTAAAGACCAGTGAATTCAACTGTGGGCACAAAGCCACAGGAATCCACGTTCCATTAATGTTGCTGCTCACTGAGCAGCTTGATAAAATTCAAAGAAGGGTCAGCATGTGACCCTTGGGTTTTATTGTGTACCCAAGTCTCAGCATCCACAGGACTCCCTATATTTAACCTACCTTATATTTTATCAGGAGTCATGCTACTTTCTCCAACTAAGACACAATTAATTCTTTCCTATTTCCAGAGTTTCTCCAGATCAAAACTCCAGACAGATTTAACTCTACACTATCCAGTCCATACTCAGCTGCAAACATCCAAAACGTGTACTGGATTACAAGACACTTCAAAAGACCCTCTCTTTTTTGGTCATAATTTCTTAAAATCACACCACCACCACTAACCACTCATCGAAAGTCCACTTCTGCAGTTACCTCCCCTGAGATGGATCCACAGCCAGTCCTGGACTACTAAATCCACCTGCATGCCTGACTTTTGTTTCTCTACAGCTCAGAGACATGGTTTCCTTGCTAAGGTCAATCACAATTGTGTCTTTGGTTACAATTTCCATTAGTCTTTAGCAAATTCCACTCTGTTCCATTTCCAGCTGGCTGCTTGAACAAGGTGTAAGAGACCAGGGTAGGAAAAGCCTAATTTCCTCTCCATCTCCAGTTGCCACAAGGCAGCCAAAACCAGAGGTGTTCAGACTCCCTTCAGGGTAGAGGCAAGCTCTCTTTGCCTGCTCAAGTCTTCAACAGATAAACCAGTGTTTTATGCCTCCTGCAGAAGAAAAAGAAAAGGAACAAACAGAAGGTCTGCAAATGGCAGAGTGATGAGCATAGCAAGGACACCAGCACTGGGATCTCCACAGCTCTAGTCCTGTCAGATTCAATACACAAGAGCTACAGTCTGCAAGCAAGTTTTTTGAAAAAATATGTTATATAGGAGGTATTTCAAATAACAAGTATTTCTTAACAGAGTTGAGCTACTAATAACTGGACAACACCAAATTCATCCATTACACCCACACTGGAACAAACGGATTTAAGCAAACCACAACTTCACTGAAAGAACAGTATCATAGGAGGGACTGCCAAGGATAGCCAGAGTTACAGATGGTAATGCATAAATACAGCTTGTATTCTGCCATACAGCACTACTAACTAGTGCAGTATCTGTGCTATGGCCCAGAAAGGAAAATCTTTTCTTTCCATTTACAGCAGCTCCCAATCTCACCAGTATTTTACTACGGAGGTTGGGAACTTCCCCACTGGTCAGCTGGACATGGGCCACTGCTGAAAGCAGGACAGTAAATCTGACAGACAGTGGTCAGATCCAGCACATGAAACTCTACGCAACTGGGATCCAGATGACCATGGGGCAGTGTCACATACTCTGAAAACATTAATATGCAGCCAACTTCAAAACTTGCATGATGATTAGTCTGAAATCTCTGGTAATGTATTCATCCTTGCTTGGATTTCTCCAATGCACTGAAAATGCATTTCCACTTCTCATTTCCTTAGAGATAAAAAGTCAATTTTTGTTATTTCTAAGCTTGTCTTGATGTCATTGCCTCCACCAATCATTTTATTCACCCATCCCCCTTTCTGATATATTGCAGAGAGCCCAAATCACAAATCTGTAGGTTGTATAAGCTCTTTGACTAGACACCTCTAAACCCCAGTGTCTGTCTGTAAGAGCAGGGAAGCAGGGCTCTGCCAGCAGATTCATCTGTCTCAGAGTTGCTAGATTCCTCTTAAGGCATCAGGCTTTTTGTTAGCTATTATAATTCTCCTATTTACAAGGTTTAATACTTATGGCAAAGAATTAGGGTATTAGAGGCATACAGTTAGCAAAATTTCAGGTTGGTAAACACAATTGAGGAAACAATTTTTAAAGGCACTGTATTTGCTGTTGCCACACTTCTGTTTT